GCTTAGCTTATATTTTCGCACCTCCCACGAGGTATTACCCTTATTAATTAGTCTCATTGCTCGTAGTGGCTACAAGCAGACAATGTTCAATGCTTTTCAATAGAAATGGAATAGAATAGACATGCAGCAGTATTCCGAAAGTAGAGGTACACTACTTGCCAATATCATTCAAGTCATTCACACATAATGATAAAGCAACACGGGGGAGCTCATCCAGGGTGGTCCTGCTGCTGTTTTAAATTTTTAATTTTATGATGAGTGCAATCTCTATCATTTTTGCTTCATTTGCTTATCTTTTCAATTTTTGTCATTTTAAGTAAAAAGTATTGAAAATTATTTTTAAAAAATAATAATGCGAGTTATTAGGGATTATAACAGTACGGTATATTCTAAATATGCTTTTCTAAATCAATAATTGATTGTTTACCTTAGTAAAATCTTCTCATAATGTTCTTCAAAAGAATCTCGGAGAAAATCAATGCTTCTGCTTCTAAGAGAAAGCCTAAAAGTGAGGAGAAAATGTATAACATCTTTCTTCTTTTTTTTACCTAAAAAAATAAGACACCCAAATTATACAGTTGCATACATAACTAGACGTTGGCTCTATAATTTTTAAAAAGAAACTTTTGTAGACAGCCTAGCTTATTAAATGCCCTTAACATTAGTGCTTCTATAGGGGAAACAAACAAAAAAAAATACAAGGAGAGAGCCCAAAAATTGCAATGAGGGCTCATAGACCATGAAGTATGAACAGGGCGCATGCATCAGCGAGTGAGTCACTGCGTGCTGATTCAGATAGACGTTTCACTGCCGTTGCTTTCAATTTTGATTACATCCACTGGTCTGTGTTGTGTCGGTAGATTGGGTTAGGACACGCATCTCCCGATGGCCGTGCATCCCGGATAAAATTGAAGCGCGTTAATTACTGATTTTGTCGGGGAGAAGGAGTTTTGTCTTCACCCGCTTTTTACTTAGAACATCATCCATTATTCGGTTCTTTATTGCTGTTAATAATCATGTCATGATAATCCCTTAAAACTTTGCTGAAAGACTTTGAAAAAATTTCAACCAACTCCACAGTTGGCCACATGCTAAGTGGGCCTGCTATCATTGATTTGCTCATCTACCCTTTTTAGTTGCTTTAATCATTGATACGGTTCTTGCGACTAATCAAACGTCGACTCTCTTTTTCGTCCTTCAGCTGTGGTGGGGAACGGATTCATAGCCAAGGATATAACATTTGAAAACTCAGCAGGGCCGAGCAAACACCAGGCGGTGGCTTTAAGGAGTGGGTCAGACCTCTCTGCATTTTACAAGTGCAGCTTTGTTGGCTACCAGGACACTCTCTACGCCCATTCCCTCAGGCAATTCTACCGCGACTGTGACATATACGGGACAATTGATTTCGTCTTTGGAAACGCCGCTGCGGTTTTCCAAGAATGCAATTTATATGCTCGTAAACCTAATCCAAACCAAAAGAACATTTTCACAGCTCAAGGGAGAGAAGACCCTAACCAGAACACTGGGATTTCAATTTTGAACAGTAAGATTGCCGCTGCTGCCGATTTGATCCCGGTCAAATCATCGTTCAAGACGTACTTGGGGCGTCCCTGGAAAGAGTATTCCAGGACAGTTATTCTGCGATCATACATTGATGATTCGGTGGATCCTGCTGGGTGGTTAGAATGGAATGCTACATTTGCTTTGAGCACCCTTTATTATGGGGAGTATTTGAACAGAGGCCCGGGGTCGAATACGAGTGCAAGGGTTACTTGGCCTGGTTATAGGGTCATCAACAGCTCGACTGAGGCAAGTCAGTTCACGGTTGGGACATTTATACAAGGAAATGAGTGGTTAAATTCCACTAATATTCCATTCTCTCTCGATTTGAGTTGAAACTTGAAAGCCAAATGTCACTAATTACTTTCTTTTTTCTTTTTTGGTAATTTGATTTTGTCCTGGTTTGATCAAGTAGCCGAACCGCATTTTGATCAGCTACCATCACAAGTCAAATTGCTTTTTTACTAGAATTAATAAAAAGCTTTATTAATTCATTTGAGAATTACAGTTATTGTTATATGCAATATTTCAAATTTAAATCCATCCGACCGGTGAAGCGTTAGTTTAGGGTGAAAGTTGCCCCACTTTGCTCTAAATTTTGAAATTGGGCTCAAAACTAATGAACCTGTTGAACTGGTCTCTTTGATAGCATCCTTATAGATATATGAGATTGGCTCGAACAATTTAAACTCAGGTGCCATCTTTGGTGACTGAGACTCAACGTGCAGCCCAAATTCTATCTCTCTCCCCCTCTCACAATTTCTATAATTTAAATTCATTATATGGCAAAATGGTAAACCAAAAACGTATCTTTTTTCATCTGTAACCTCAGATGACAATATTATTATTTAGTTCAACGAACCAAAGCCTTAGTTAAATAGGGTCATCATTTTTATTATAAAATTTACAAAAAATAATTAAAATTCTGTTTTTTCTTTTTCCTTCTCTGTTCTTTTGTTTTGTCCCTTGCGGGTCATGGACTAGGCCGACATGGACAAAGGTTAAATCCGGGCTTTTCAGCCCCTTTTTATCCTCCCTACTAGTGGTTAGGGATGAGTATTAATCGATTCAAATAAAAATAATCATTGAAATTAATTGAATTCAGATTAATTTTTTAAATTATGATATTAATCGATTAGAAAAGGTACTCTATTCAACTATTTCGGTGAGTTGGGTTGATTTTGATTATTTTTTATAAGAGTTCAATAAATATAGATTTCAAAATTTTAATCAAATTGATCAAATGCTTATCTCTCTCCATTTCTTTCTTCCTTTTTGTGTCCTTACTCTCTCTAAAATACCCTCAAAATCTTAAAATTTTTGTAACACCCCCAAAAATTTTCATTCCATTTATATCTTAACAAAGTGTTAGTGTCATGAACTTCATGTTAAAAAGATATGTGATCTGTTTTGGACTTATAAATAAAAATTTCTTCTATTTATTTGATATATTTTTTAAGTTAAAAGCATTGATCCGTAACAAAGTAGTATCAAAATTTATCAATTTGTAATTGATAGAAATGCACTTCTCTTTCAGTAATTTGGCGCAGCGAGGACTGAAGAGTTATTGATTACGGTAGGGCATGCTTCCCCAACTCAAATAGGATTGCCCAAAGTGTAGAGACAGTGACGCCCAATTCACCGCAAAGACCGGAAATCAGGGGATGCAAGATACTTGTGTAGGAAATAATGAACCCCCGGCCCAGCCACCCCAGACCCAGAGAGTTCAGAAAATAGCAATCATGAGACTGCTGGCAGTTGCAAAATTGCAACATGCATGCTTTTGTCAGGTAAAAGTGAAGAGACTGTATTTGAGAGAGTTTTATAATAGGAGGCTGACTGCCTGAGCTCCCCTCGGACCTGTTAAACATTGGTCTATCTTTATCTCAATGATAACCCTGAATCAAATTTATTGTAGGGAAATTAAGCCTAAATTAGAAATGCACTTTGTATGTGATAGAAGTTAATCTGTTAGCACAAATCACCAACTCAAGTAATAACAAGTTGGCTACTAAATTAGTAGTAGTATAATATATCAAAATTTCATCCTAGACAGGAATTATTAAAGACACGAAGTTTATGTTTATACCGAATAGAATAGTAGTAGTATAATCTACTGCGAACTACAACTTTTAAAAAGAGAATGTATTTGACTAAAGTAGTAGCAGTTGGGGAGAACAGCCCCATTCCACCCAATGACAAAAGCAGAAGGCATACTAAAGCGAAGCTTTCGCCGATGTAATAATAGTTTTGACTTGGAAGTCCTTGGTCCTTACGTTTCATGCAAATGTTAGGTGTAGCTCGTCATAAACTAAGCTGCATTTGCCCTACGTCTTTCACATTTCAATTTCAACTTTGTCTAATGACAGTAATGCTTGTGTCAGCTTTTCAGTCGCAGTTTGACGACTGATTAGTCTCTTCCCCCCCCAATCTATCTTCACTTTTACAGAGAGGCGCATGGAAGATGGGAACATGAGTTCTTGCTTTTGCATGTGTGAGGATTTCAGAAGAGCACATGACGACTGGGTCGTGTTTTGCCCATCCTTTTCTCACCAAAATTATTTAAATTCCTTCAATACTGTTTCTCTGGTTTCTCCGTTTTCCCATTTATTCATTTTGCTTTTTTCTTTATAATGAAGCTTTAGTTAGTTGATAAGATTAGAGTTTGAGAATAATTTCCTGTTAATCCAACATGCATGTCTCCTTACTTTGCGATTAAACTTAATTCCATTATTTCGCAGGTTAATATATATTGGCTATCAGTGGAGTTCTGTAGCAATAACATAAGGTAGCTCGATCTGTCTGACCATAGTCTTTTGCTAGCTGCTTTTTCATTTTGTTTTCGCTCCTTTTGCATCGAACGCTTGCTGACCATTTTGCTGGGCAACATGACATGGGTCCTTTCTGCTTCTCTTTACCTGATTCATTGAGCGGAAAATTAAAGGCAAACATCCCTCAAGTCCCAATCCTTTTCTGATTGGCAGCAAATTAAGGGAATGCCCACCTAAATAATGCGGTAGCGCATATGGAATACAAAAAAAAAAGAGGTCCAATCACCAAAAGAAAATTCCGAAAAAAATAATTCTCTGCCACATGGAGAAACACACTTTTGCATAGTATGATATAGATTGATGAATAGTACCATAGTATATTATTGTAGGAGTCCGGCCTTTCATCATATTTTCTCATGATTTATTTGATTCTTTACACTTTTTTCTTTCCTTTTGGCTTATAGCCTTTAATCATTCGAGGCACCAAAGACATATGAAACCAAATTGGGAGAAACAAGATGGTACGGGCACTTAGAGATTGGTGGATGGGGGTGGATCTACCGGTACGAGACAATTTTCATGTGCATTTGGAGATGAGTTCTAGAAGTTCCCTCGGGCTTATCTTGAATTCCTGCTTCAAGCACATCATCGCAAAGTACAACTTCTGCATGGGTCTTCATCGACGCTTTTGTGGCTAACTCATTGAACCCAAAGATTTACACAAATTAACCATTTTGATCATTCTTCATTCACCAACTTTCTCCGACATTAGGGTCGAGTCTTCAACGTCGACACCCATCACCTCCCCATTTTTATGTGTTGAACATCTTTCTCTAACAAACTGAGTTTCATTTTTATTCCTCGGTTGGCTTCCTCTAAACTTTGTTCCAACACTATGAGAGCCTGGTTACATTACACCCTATCACCCTGGCTGTAAAAGATTACACCGTCTCCGATTTCATATAATTTTAAGTGAAAAATTGAATTACATAATGCATTGCATGTTTCTTAGCACTATTAAGTAGTTATTGGGGATGCCCTCAAAATCTTTGCAGATATGATTTCTTTACTTTGCATTCATGTGAACTTACCACCGATAAAGGGGAAACTTTTTGCTTTACTTTTCTGTCATTCTGTTACATATTAGCATGAAGTTTTGTTACATACTTCTTTACAGCAGTAAATCTTCTGTTTTTCTCTTCTTTACTTTAGTGTTAAATCACGTCCCTTCTTCACTTGTGCTGGTTCTATATTTTAGGTGTGTATAATTGAATCACCCTAATGAATCATTATTCACTGGGAGATGGGGAAAAAGCACATTTTTCTAAGTGAAAAGTTGGAAGTATTACGAGCACGACTGCTTTTAGGCTTTACACGTTTCAATATTTCTTTGAATTATTAACTACAATCGAACATTTGGCTTAGATTTATCTGCAAATCTGCTCCAGTGAGGAATGTGAAAATAAATATTTGGACAACATGCTTTCCAGTTTTTCCTTTGTTTAACTTATTCTTCTTTAAACATCCTCTGCAGACTTGCAGTTAAAATCGTGGAAAAAATGATCCTGACTTCACTCACATGACATGTCCTAACACCATTGGACATTTTTCCCCCGAACATGTTAACTGAATATTAATGTAATCAAAACACCCATGTGACCACGGGAATTTCTGTTATTAATACTCTCCTGTCTGACTGCGTGTCCTTGATTTTGGGCAATGGAACCTTGAATTGAAAAGGCTATCTTCATTTCAATAAAGTAATGCTTGAAAAACATAGTGGAAACGAGAAAAATTTATGAGCCAACGCCAAGCACCTGTTACAGGATGTGCACTTAATTATTGTTTTAACTTGTACTATAGCTTTTAATTTACTAAGTTGTAATAGGTCACCTTAAAAAAATAAAAAAAAAGAGAATGCAGCGGTAACTTGTAACCAAGCAAGGAGGTGACGGAGGCGGCTTTTACTATATAAATAACGAAGGGGGTGTAGTCTGCCCTCAACTGCGGCTTGCAGGTTGGTTGTTGGTTGGTTAGTTGGTTGGGGTTGTGTACTTTTGGGGCAGCCTAAAAAAAATGGGTCTCTCACCTTCCCCCTTCTCTCTGATAGTCCTGCTTGCTTGTTTCGCTGGTTCTGTCCTGCAGGGTGATGGTTTTCCTTTCCATCACAACAGCCCTTTTCACCACCACCACCACCCTCGTTTTGCCAAGCACAACTACAGAGATGCTCTTACCAAATCAATCATCTTTTTTGAAGGTCAGAGGTCAGGGAGGCTTCCTTCTAACCAGAGGATTACTTGGAGGAGGGATTCTGGCCTCTCAGATGGTGCAGCCATGCATGTAAATATACAGAACCATGCTCTCATATTTTTTTGTATAGTTTGTTTATTTCACGTTTTTCTCGGTTTCTCCTTCATATTGGGTTATCATGCGTCCTCATTTGAGTGTGAAATTTGAAAATGTAGGTTGATTTGGTTGGAGGATACTATGATGCTGGGGACAATGTGAAGTTCGGGTTCCCCATGGCCTTCACCACCACCATGCTCTCGTGGAGTGTAATTGAATTTGGTGGGTTGATGAAAGGAGAGATACAAAATGCCAAACAAGCCATTCGTTGGGCTACTGATTACCTGCTCAAAGCAACTGCACATCCAGGCACCATTTATGTTCAGGTATATCCTTCTTATCCCTGGAACTCTTCAAATTATGTGCTTTATTTTCTGTAGAAACAGAGGAGATAATATTAGCTCGGCTTTTTTTTGTAGGTTGGTGATGCAAACAAGGACCATTCTTGCTGGGAAAGACCAGAAGACATGGACACTCCAAGGAGTGTTTTCAAAATAGACAAAAACACCCCTGGTTCTGATGTAGCAGGAGAAACTGCTGCCGCACTTGCGGCTGCCTCATTGGTCTTTAGAAGAATTGACCCCGCTTACTCCAAGCTTTTGGTCACGAGGGCTATCAGGGTAAAATTCTTATTTTTGCTAAACAAATATGTAAATTATCCCTGCTCTGTTCAAAATTTCCTCAGAAATATGAAAGTTTATGTTGTTTCTGAATTCTGAGTAATAGGTGTTTGAGTTTGCTGATAAGTACAGAGGGGCCTACAGCAACGGGCTGAAGAGAGCTGTGTGCCCATTCTATTGCTCTTACTCTGGTTATCAGGTGCATTAATGTTGCTAAACTTTTGCTATTCAAGCGTTGATTACATGGGATACTGTGAGAATATCTCAATCTAATCTATTTCCCTTGGTCTATTTAATAATGTTAGGATGAACTGTTGTGGGGTGCTGCTTGGCTGCACAGAGCCACCAAGAACCCAATCTACCTAAAGTATATTCAAGTCAATGGGCAGATCCTTGGAGCTGCGGAGTTTGACAACACCTTTGGATGGGATAACAAACATGTTGGAGCAAGAATTCTTCTCTCTAAGGTTTCATTTCCTTTCTTTGTTCTCGTTTCTGCATGCTGATTAGGTTCATCCATTAAAACGATTCAGCTTGTCCTTGCTTTTGCAGGCATTTCTTGTTCAAAGACTGCAATCTCTCCATGAATACAAGGGCCACGCAGATAATTTTATTTGCTCTCTCATACCAGGAGCCCCATTTTCTTCAGCTCAATACACCCCAGGTTCCTCTCCAGCCTCTCGATAAATTTTAAATGTTTAAAAGCTTTGTAAACGGCTGGTTTTTAATTTTTTTTTTCTGTTGTTTCTTTGTTATAAACAGGTGGGCTTCTGTTTAAGATGAATGATAGCAACATGCAGTATGTGACCTCTTCTTCATTCCTGCTCCTAACCTACGCTAAGTACTTAACTTCTGCCCACCAGGTTGTTAACTGCGGTGGCACCACGGTTACCCCAAAAAGGCTCCGAATCATTGCCAAGAAACAGGTAATTGCAATGGACAAAACCAAAAGCAAGAAATTTCTGTTTGTTTGGATTTCATTTCTACTTTCAAGGTTCTTTTATACGTTTAACCAACTTCTTTATGAAATATGTTATCATAAGGTGGACTATCTGCTGGGAGATAACCCCTTGAAGATGTCCTACATGGTGGGATACGGTCCAAGGTACCCGCAAAGGATTCACCACAGGGGCTCATCACTACCGTCCGTTGCAAAGCACCCAGCCAAGATCCAATGCTCCGCAGGCTTTAATTTCATGAACTCCCAATCCCCCAACCCCAACGTTCTGGTAGGTGCAGTCATCGGTGGGCCAGACCAACATGACAGGTTCCCAGATCAACGGTCAGATTATGAGCAGTCAGAACCAGCAACGTACATCAATGCACCCCTTGTAGGAGCGTTAGCTTACCTTGCTCACTCTTTCGGCCAGCTTTAGGGGGGCCCTACCAGGAACTTAACAGAATTAGCTATTTAGGTGTTTGTAATGTTTTCATTTTTACTTAATATTGAAAATGTCGAAGTTCTACCAATATTCCTCTGGAAAAGGAAGTGCACGAGGCTAATGTGGTCGAGACCTAAGGCTCGAGCCCCAAACCTTGGAGCACAAATGTCAAGGATGGACAGCCTTGTGGGCCTTTTTTTTTCTTTTCTAATATACGTTATTATTATTATCGTTACCAGTTTATAGCCTCTGGTGAGAGTGCATATGGCGTGCCAAGAACGGCGTTTTATTGTAATGGCTAGCTCAAGCTAAGGATTCTGGGCTCCTAATTAGGATATATTTAGGCCGTTTTGAAACTTGTAATATGTCTACTAGCGTTTATCTTGCGAGAGTTCAATATTTTCCCTCCTCTCCCTATGTCGTGGATTTGGTTTTATGTCTATGATGTGGGCCGGGACCATTAAATTCGGGATTCGAAACAAAATGTCTTGAAACCAATAATAAATAAGAGACAAAACAACCGCAAGCTGGAGCCGAATACTAATTAACAATAACTAATTAACAGTGCCCAGCGGATAATGTTGAATATTTTTACCGTTGTAGCTTTAATGGGAAACGAGCATTTGACCGTTGAAAATGTGTGGCAGAGGCTATAGGAACGAAGGGAGATCAAGAAAGAAGATTTTGCCCGGCATGTGACATTGTTAGGGACGTGCGTCGTGGTCGAAAAAGCTGGTGTTTCACAGAGGTTGCTGTCAGGAGTGTCAGGGCTGGGCTTAAGTCTACAGTATAAACCCCAAAAAGAAAGTTGCAACTAGTTGGATAGTGGGAACCAAGCCCTAAAAAGACATTCCACAAAATGCTTCTAATTTTGTAGGGCTCCTCTCTTGGAGTTCATTTTTTAGTTTGGAACTGACCAAGACCAGGTAACTGGATGACATTAATAAACAACATAGAGAAGTACTGCACTAAATCCACACAAAGGAGAGAGGACTCATAAACAAGAATCCTAGGGGCAGACAAGCCAATACAGTAGTATTATTACCATTTATTTACAACAGCCAACATTCGAGACATAGCCAAAGTTAAAACACAAAAGCTCCATAGGCAGGAGACTCGTAAATATTTACCTTCCAACCAGTAGATAAATATATTCCGCACCCTTACAATCAACCAAAACCTTATTTAGTTATTTACATACTAACATTATCCTGTGAAGTCATTGTTGCGAGGGTCACCCAGACCCAGTTTGTGGAGCAGCTGGTGATTAAGCTTAATCATCACTGGCCAAAGGTACAGACTTTACCTGAAAAGAATATAAGCATGCTTAAATTCTGTACAGAGTGCTTAGTCGAAATTCAAACGCAGAACTAAGCACCATTATAGTCTTTATAACAACATTCTGGGCATTTTAAGGATATCTGATACTAGACATTTGGCAAGCTGAAATCAAACAATAAATGTCCCTTCCTTTCCAGAATTCTGACCAAGGATATCAGATACTGGACATTAAGACTGGGTGTTTTAAGAATATCTGCTACTGGACATATAACAAGTTGCGATTAAACAATAATGCCCCTTCATTTCAGAAATTGTTACCAAGGGACACACAAAGCAAAACAGTAAAAATGGTGGGTAATATAAAAAAAGAGCAGAACCAGTGATTGATAATAATGATGAAGCCCAGGCAAACCATGTTTTCTTTCCTTCTTATACTCTACTTAATAAGAATGCTCTCCTCATGTCAAAAGTGTGAAAATCAAGGAATTAGGAATGTAGTCCCAACATCACTCCACCAATAATTCTAATGATGGATCAAAGTGCACTTACCAAATCACGAAACTTGAGAATGTAGAACATTTCAAGATATCTTCGGGTCTCACGCCTCTCAAGTTTTGAGACATACTTCCAGAAACTATATACCCCAGCCAATGTCATCAGCCTTTCAGAATAAATTTTCCATGTATACCTACAATTTCAAAATCTTTGCTTGAGCTCCACATGATGGTAGAGACAATGGAAGTACAGATGAAAATTAGAAGAAACAAACCTTTCATAAATTCTTTTAAGCCCTCCATCAGATATTTTAGTCCAGTGGCTTGGATCCTCCTTGCAACGTTGAAAGAAATCGGCCAGGAGCTCAGCAGTCTGATCAGGGTGATATGGATCAATATGGAACCCTGATGCACCATTTTCAATAATCTCTGCAGGACCACCGTGGCATGTGGCAAATGTGGGAAGGCCACAAGTCATGGCTTCCACCACTGTAAGTCCAAAGGCTTCATAGAAGGCGGGCTGAAATAAATGAGAAAGGGTAAACCTTTTAGAAAGCACAAGGGGTTGTAATACAACAGAACCATATCACTATACAAGGGCACATACCTGTACAAAAATACCTTTTGTGTCGGCTATGTAGCGATAGAGCTCACCATTGCGTGCTCGATTTGTTTGGGCTGCTATCCAACGAAATTGACCATCCAATTGATACTTTTTCATAAGGCCATGCATTTTTTCGATTTCTGCTATCTCCTCTCTGTCTTTTGACATATTTACATCAATGTAACCAGCAACAACAACAAGGTTTGCCAATGCCCTCAGCTTCTTATTCTTACAATAACACTCTACCAATCCAGTCATGTTTTTGACTCGATCCAGCCTAGCCATGGAAAAGATTATGGGCTTTGACCGATCACTCAAAGTACCACTGCATATGAAAGACAAAACTTGCATTACAAACTTGGCAAACCAACAATATTTTACCATGACTTATGTTGCTATTGCAACAAGGTAAATTCTCCGCAACTTTGTATTCATTACTTGAAAAATCTCACAATTGCATTATATTGTAACTGTAGGAGCCGAATTTTCCATTCAATGTCCGCTACTAAGATTCTTGGTAGTAGATATCTTAAAAAGTAATTTAATATTCTTGGCAACCATCATTCTTGACTATATTCAATAAATAGCAGGGTTTGTTTGACTCAAATAAGAAAAGAAAAAAGGGAAGGAAAATTTACAAGTGCTTAAGTAATTAGTTCAGCCTTTATGCAACTTAACAATTTTAACTTTACTTTTCTTGTCTTCTATCCTATATACAAAGAATAAAAGTAAGTTTTGGGTTGGAATTTTGGTAAAACATCAGTCTCATTTGAGCAGCAATTCTAGTGCTAGTAGTCATTGTCTGCCAGCAATGAGAAGATCTAAAATTTAAAACTGCAAGCATATGATTTATGTACATCAAATGGAAAATTTCCTGTCATTCTGGCTTGTGTTTGTAAAAGAAAATCGATTGGGCCTTGTTCCTTCATGTCACCATCTAAAGAAACTTCTGACAATATTCACAGGATTATGATCGTCCAATAAATATAATGTTACCCTAGAACAAGCAGATCACGAGATTACTGATTTAAAAATTATGCTCTTCTAGACATTAAAATATAAGGTACAGCAGAAAAAGACTGAAGAAACTCACATGTGTTCATCAGTCTGCTGAGGATCATACAACAATTCTTCTATTGAGCCATGCAGAGCCGTAAGTCTTTTTTCCTTATCAGAGTATGGGAAATAAATGCACATATCTGCCCCGGGAGAAACAATATTGAACTTTGGATCAAAAACATCAATGCCATGAACTACTCGATACAGCCCTGGAAGAGTAAAAGCAGCGTGGCTCTCGTACTGACCAACAGTGTTCTTCCTGGTGCAAAGAAATTGACATAATGCAAAAGGCATCATTTAATTCATATTGCATAAGCCATTACAGAGACTCCAATTCAACGGTTATATATGTTTAAGCAGACAATCCATCTCCTTACTATAGGAAAACAGGCAGAATTAAAGATATTAAGATCAACACATTAAGATAAAACAACAATAATTACAACATGGCCATACTAAAATAAAAGGTGCTAACAGTAATCCTGTAAATAAATAGCATAAACCAAAGTTAATCGAGAAACTTACGTTCCTGCAATCTCTTGGTACGTGCTGGTGATAATAAAATCTGCGTTATTCATGGCTATCAAGTCAGCAGTGAACTGACAAGAGAAGTGATATTTCTCATCGAACTTTTTCCAATATATATCTGAATCTGGATATTTTGTTTTTTCCAATGCATGCGCAATAGTGCACTGCAAAAAGTGTAATTTAGGCAAGTGCAATCAGACTGCTAGAAGATACAGTAACAATGATTTCAGAAAAAGTAAAAAGAAAGGGTGGAGGGGGAGGGAGTTGGGAGAGAGGAGAGACAAACCTGTGTAACACCCATTTTATAGGCCAACAAAGATGCAACAAGGTTCCCATCACTGTAGTTTCCTATAATAAAATCTGGAATACCCTGCAACTCTGCTGCAATTTCACTTGCTACATCCTGATTATATATACAACCAGGAAACCATGTTATGAAAGATTTTAAAGAAAGCAAGATAGAAACAAATATAAAAATATAAAGACAATGAACTTCTAAAATACAATGTGATTATTAAAAAACTTCATCATTTATTTTCTTCCAAAATAATAAGCAAGAGCCTTCGACAATTTGCAAGTCAAAATGATTTTACCTCAGCAAAAGTCTCCAGATAAGGCCATACATCAAATCTTGATATCCATTTACGAAGAATTCCTTTTTCTGATCTAAAAGGAACTCGCAGAATATGAGTATGTTCTGTCCCACTGACTCTTTCCAGCCGCTGATTGCAGGTGGTTCCCTTTGCATCAGGTATTAACCTGGTCACCTTGAACAACCAGGAAAAATATGTCAAATTTACACAAGCAAATAGAAATATTGTAAATTGAAATAAACCAATCTTGATTAGATGTAGGTATACTTACAATAAGAATTCTGGGAGTAATATCAAGTCCTTGCCTGTGTATCCTAAGAAGCATTTCATTCTCTAAGGCACGCACTTGGTCCAATATATAAACAACCTGCACATTACATAGGAAAAATGGAAATCTTAAAGATGATAAATCCATATAAATTATTCAACATATTATAAATAAGCAGTAGTCATGCACATCAAAAGGAAGATCAAAGATTTAATTCCTTGATGAACAAAAATCTAAAACCATTTCAATGCTTTCAGCATTCACAACAAACCTGTCCACCAGTGTCAGGCAAACCTAAAACATTTGCTTGCCCAAAGTATCCATGTGGAGACAGAATGACGACATTAAACACCATAGGTACTCTCCCAAGGAATGTCTCTAATGTAGAGGGATCAGGAGCCTGAAGGATGTCCAAGAGAAGATGCATCATCTCCAGAACATGTACTGCAGTATCTCCCCAACCTCTCTCAAAACCCATTCCTTGTAATCTGCATTCATGCAACAAGGAAAAGCAGAGATGTCAACAATTTTAGTGCTCTTCTAAGACTACTTGAAACAAATACACACACACA